ATATACATACTAATTTCAATACTCCTATAATAAAGTTTCTCAGCGTCTCTGTATCGGTTCATATGATAATTATATAACGAAGCTAAATGTCCTATGCTTAATCCAACTTCGTGATCGTCCGGTCCTAGTAATTCTTCTTTAATACGTATAGCTTTGAGATGCATCGCTTCAGCTTCCTAGGATTAACGATATAGCATAGTCAATATGTCATTGACGTTCAATTACACACATTTACGCGGCATATGTACCTTACATTTCCTCATGCTTTGATAAACACGTCCCAAATTCCCGTAATGTTTTGCCGTTTGTACGTTTCGTTCGCCAAACGCCTCTTTTGCCGATTGCAAGGCGGACAAATGAAGGCATTCAGCCTTGAACAGCAGATTTTGTTTCGACAACGGCGATGACGTAGTATCTAACGCTATTTCTTCGAGAATTAATGCATTTATTCTTTTCGCGCTCGCTAACAACAAATGATCCCCATGTAAAAGGTTTAACATTATGTCTATTGCTTTCTCAATGTGAACACTGTTCATTTAAAGTGAAACAAAATTGTATGACTTCTTTCTTTTTTTTAAAAGATTGTTAAAAGTAATAAGTTAAACAGAATCATTTACCTTGCCTCTGGAAACTCGCCAGACCTATACTCGTATACGTAAAGGGCATAAGCCAGATCCTCGTGCGCCAACGCAACGTGCAAGTTCATTTTACCAAATATTTCTGTTCTAATAGCTAACGCGTTCTGTAATAAAACGAAATGTTAGAGAATCGTGAACGAAAGATGCATTGATTATGATATTATAAACGAACCTTATAAAGATTTGCACTCTTAATTATATTATCAAAGTTTAACCAATAAAATCCGTAATCTATGAGGACGTTACTGTACACCGGATGATCCGTGCCGAATACTTCCTTAGCAAGATATACAGCTTGCCTAATTAAAAGACCAGCTCTTTGGAATTCGCGTTTTAGTACGCACGACTTTGCTGCCTGTCTCAACACATCAACAGTGACGCGTGCAGATAACGCTGACTTCAATTGCTTAAGTGCTTCTATACTCCATCTAAATTATCGTTAATTACACAATTAGCAACAATAATAAGACTGATAAGAAAAAATGCAACACATACCTGTAGGCTTCGTCGTACTCGCTTTTCATATAAAAAAGTATACTGAACTCAGTATAAATAGCAGCATAATTATAATCATTATACCCTGCCTCTTTTAACTGTTCTATCAGCTCTACGGCAAGTTGATGTGTCTTAGCCGCTTGTAAAAATTCGCAATACGCCGCTTGTACATGTAGCAACCTAAATATTTAAATTCTTGTTGAAAATTTATATAACTCTGCTATATAGAGCACTATATCGTCAAACGTATCTTACTTTCGACAACATTCCAATGTTCTACACCAATTCTGAGGCGTAGAATTATTCGCTAGGCATAATTGTTTACACGCCAGCAACACTTGTTCGCTTTTCGCGTACCAGCCAGCATCGCTGAAGAATCCACCAATTCTCAAGCCTAGGTTTATCAGCTTCTCCTCAGTAGCTGAATTTTCACTGACATCGAGGTAGCATACCGTGTAGCTGATGCTCAGCTCCTCCTCTACCCGCACTCCATGATCTATAAGACTCTGAGAAATCAATAGAAAAGAAAAATAAATGTACATAAGACTTTTAGTACATTTTCTCGATAGGGACAGAACAATTACCTGAAAGCTCTGCAGAAGATGTACACGACGGCTAGTGACTGTTAACATTTTGGAGAAGATCTCCAAATTGCTGAAGTCGATCCCCAGCAGGCATAATCTTTTCTCTTTGTACAACTGTAAACAGTAAAATTTCATGCTATTTTCCCTTTACATATTTTATTTACTCGTTGTTATTACTATTGTGATCATTTGTATTCTCAATGACATGACAAATGGACTTGTGGATTTATAGAAAATAGTGGAAATTATGAATGTATAGGCGTATAGGTTAAGCGTGTGACAAGCACGAGATTCCGCAATTCCGTTTCGTTGGACCATCGTGATCCATGTTCGTCGTCAATCCTCGCGAATTCCAACCATCGTGGGATCTCCTCCGGTCGCACTTGTCGCGAAAACGCGATCTTACTGAACAGGCGTCGAGCTGTCACACTTGGTGTGGACAATGTTGTGACAGCGTTCTGCCTCGATCAGACGCGCGATTTCATAGACAACAAAGCCAATAAAAGTCGCAAGCAGAACAGTAGCTCGTTACGAAAACGAATATGAAAAACGAAAAGGTAAAATTAAAATGGTGGAAAAGTTTTGGTTAGGTTGATGTGGAAGAAAAATAAAAAGAAAAAAGAAGAAGAGGAAAGGTCGACGTTCACTCGGAGTCCGCGAGAGGTTGTTCCAACGTTCACCTGGTAATAAACGTCGAAGAGGACGTCGTTCGGCAGGTCGGGAAGATATTTCCTCAGGCTCAGGAACTTGTTCGCGATCGCCAGCACGCTCAGTTGGTAGAGTGTTTTCGGGAAGAAGACCCGCGGAACGTGCGTTTCGGCCATTTTCCTGGGGGCCCTCGATAGTCACGGGAGAAAAGTCGGCGCGCGCACAGCTGTGTTCCCGACACGGTTGGCTGTCGCGTCTCGTCGTGCGCATACGCCGCCAAAATGTTCTGCCATCCAACCACCGGCGGCAACCTCCGTTTCGAGAGAACGATGGTAAAAGCGCGCACCAGATACGAGAACCGCGCCAATTCCCTCTTCTTTTCTTTTATTTCCTTTCCTCCTTCGAACACTTGTTGCGACAATGAACAACTCTCGCGAGAGTTCTGGCGAATCGCTTGCCAAACCGATGATTGTCCGTTTTATCTTTTCTTTTCTTTTCTCAGGAGCGCGTCATCGGTGTCAAACGTTCGAGTCCAAGAATTGCGAGTACATCCTCGCTCGGAAATCTTGAAGACTCGGGGGTACATACTGCACATTTATACAATTATATAATTCATTCAGATACATACTGTATATAATTCTTATATAAATGCAATAATTATAATTCATACAGTTCATTCAAATACACACTGTATATAATTATTATATGAATGTAATATTGATTATAATTCTAACAGTAATTATACTAATATGATAATTATTATAAATTAAAATAATTCATTCAAGTATATATTACATGAATGTAATAATTGTAATTCGTATAATTCATACAAATTTATACTGTATATAATTATTATATGAATCATTTCGGATTCTAATTTTTGGGCATTATCTTTCAAAATATTTAATCATGCTGTATTATTTTCGATAAATTTTAAATTACCTACATCAGCAGCAAACACGCACCCCTAGTGCACCATTGGACCATTACTGACGCACCTCCACGCTTAACAATTATAATTTAAATTTCTTATTTTAAATTCTTCATTCAACTGTCGCCATCCTAATTGAATATATTAAACGTATTTTTTCGTCAGCAAAGAGAATCTGTTTCTAAGAATAAAGTTCTTTATAGTTCTATATCAAATATTTTCTTGCGAAATCTGATCTTGTTTTCCTATTCTTGTCACTAACGACTGCTTTGTTTCGGGTTTGCATGACTATGAAAATTACGGTTTCGTAAAACTCTTCTTATTGTTTTTGTCTTAGGTATTTTTCTGTCTCATGATGTGAGTTTAGGAACACTAAATTTTGAATTCTCTTTAATTTTCCTTGCTACCCGTCTTTCATCACGAGCGTCGAATTTTTTTATTTTTTCTTGCTTTATTATCTTCCTTTTCGCCCTGATAGCGTCTAACAATGTATATAACAACAGAAAAAATGATTCAAATATGGCTCTATGATAAAGTTATTTGAGTGAAAGAGAAGATATTACATCATTAATAAAATAATTTAATAATAAAATAAATAATCTATACTCTATTGAATTATGATAATTACAATTGAATATATATCGATATCAACTGAACAAACTTGTTACCATTTGATGAGCAGAAGACATTTAGGAAAGATTTCCTAATAGATCCACAGAAGACATTTCCTCATAGGAAACTATGGCCATCATAGATGTCATTTTATTTCATCATTGTACATGACACATATTGACGAGTCAATGATGCAGTCTGTTTCCAAATTTCGATTGCTCAGAAACTGTTCACCACTAATTGTTCGGCGAGTTACAAAGTAAATCACTCAACCTAACCTAAGTGTTCTAACAACTCAAATTAATCCTGTACCATTAATCTTGTACCATCTTGTTCGTATTAGAATCAAATCAACATTAAAAATTGATATTTCTTTTTCTTCATAGGACATTAGATATAACAAAATAGCCTGAAAATACCGAAGAGTTGAATTTTGAAGAACGTATTTTGAAGAGACGTATTAGGCGAAATAACAATAATGTATTGTACATGCTATATTAATATATGCATGCATATATCGTTCAGAAAAAAAAAGAGAGTCGATATTGTGATCGTGAAAGAGGCTGATTAATGGCGCCAGCATTGGGCCATGTATTCTTTGACCCGGGCTTCCTTTTCCGAAAAGAAACGAGCTGCGGGATAAACGTCTAAGGTGATTCAACGTCGTCGTGATCTTTGACACGGTAAAACATGGCTGAAAAAGGAAAGAAAGAAAAAAAACAGCGATTTTAAGCGCGGTTAAGAGCAAGTGAAAGGAAATTGATGCGCGTACTGATTTGCGAAAGTTTCAATGTCAAATCATACACCTTTGATCGCACTGTGAACCGGGTATCCCGCGATATTTAATGATTATGTCGACGAAACGAACAAAATCGTTTAACTTTCGTCTGACCTTCAACTCGTTTCCCGCAATTCCGCGCGTTCATTTTAATTAGATCACGCGCGCGTTCTGCGAAATTCTGCATCATAACCTCGCATTCCATCGAACACCCGTACGCCTGATTTCATTAACACCAACAATTGACACGTTGCTCCCATCGGTTGGCAAACACGCGCGAATCCTGCCGGTAAAGTCGCTCCCATGTGCGTGCACTTGTCTACTCTCGTAAATCACGCTACGTACGCATCTCGAAGATATCGATTAGATTTAAAGGTAAAAAATTTGAAAATATACAGAAGACATCGATTAAATTTAAAAGTAAAAAAATGTGTACAGATGCGTACGCAATGCGGGATAATATATATACATATGTAAGATGTACAAACAAAATGTTCGTTGCAATATAGAGATAACGAGTCTCTAGATAAGTTCCATTCTTTCGATAGATCATACGATTCAATTCGATTATTTCAGTTACTATCCTATCGAAAGGGAGGGTTTGCACTGACTCTGTTTATATTTTTAGGCGTACGTTCGCTGGTGCACAAGGTGCACAGAATGGAGAAGGAGGAGGAATGTCCCCACAAGAATGAAAGAGACGAAATGATGCAGGCCGCGGCATCGAACACCTCATCGAGCAACGTTTGCGACGGCCGAGCACGTGCTTCCTGTCAAGAGGAGTTTACGTGTTCCCTGTATATCTCGCGTGCCGTCGGACCACAAGGCCAAGTGCAAGGAATACAAGGTGGCAAATTGCCAGCTCCTTTATTTAGCGGATTCTCTATTTGCATAAATGATCTCACTCATGCCTATAACGTAAGAGTTTAGAATTTGTATAGCAGCTAGAAAACAAAAATAGTCATTTATACACTACTGCGTACGTTACAGTTGTTAAATTTAAAATTAACAAAATTAGCTTTTTCTTATATATTTTGATTGATTTTTATTAAAAACACAAAACTGGGAAGAAACTTTTGGCCCACCCTGTACATTCATAGAAGAAACCCACGACTAAAAAGTTTCGATGGCGAAAGTGAAATTGTAAGAAAACGTGCCAGTGTTCAACTGCTATACAAATTTCTTTTCTTTCTTCACGCGATAACTGAGAGATTATGCAATCAACGTTATGTCAGAACGCGTCAGTTACGGTACGAAAGATATTTTTTTCTTTTTCCTTCTCGTGCTCGAAGAATGCTTCTGCTTTTACAGCGAAGTTATTTTACAACACTAGTTCCCGTTGACGGTAGATGTTTCGAATACTTGTTAAAGCTGACGAATAAGTTATGCCAGGTGGCGAGCTGCTACGTTCCAACTTAGAGGAAGTGATCCGCGCGTCCGATCCCTTGGCAGCCTGGCACGTGTCTGAAACACCATGCGGCCTGATCGCCGCGTTCACGCGCGAAGCTGACGCAGAGAAATTGCTACAACGTGGCGACTTGGCGCGTGTTTTCGAAGGACCTGTACAAGTAGATTGAATTAATATAATAGTAGAACGTTTTTTTTTTTTTTTTTTTTTTTGTAAATCGAATTGATGCGTCTTATTTTTGTGTTACTTTAGGTTAGGTGTTTTATTTTTGTATTATTCTTTTTGTAAATCGACTTGATGTGCTTTATTTTTGTATTATTCTTGCTTTAGGTTAGGTTAAGTTTCCCAAGATTCACAGAACGAAAATCAAAGTTTTTCGTAAAATGCTTTGTCGATTGAAATGATTTCATTAATCCTAATGAATAACAATAAATGACAATTTGAGTAAAAATTTGAGCAGTTCGAAAAATAAGTACTTGATTGTTTCATCTCTGAAATATAAATTACATGTAGACGTCCAAGTGATATGAATAGAAATGATAGATATGTAGTTTCAACTACAATATTACTATAGATACCAGTCGATTTTTGCCACTTAAATATAATTGCGGTACTGATATAGAAACGTACAGTAGAAGAACGTTTCGAATTAATCAGGAAGCAAATCCTTTGTTCGGATAAACAGTTTTTCGAGTAGTCTGTCTGTAATTATCATCATCTGCTATTTTCAAGCTTCAACATAAATGAAAATCTCTTATTGTCCAAGTTATTTTGAAATTCTGATAATACTAATTCACTATTTTTAATGCAGCTAATTGTAACTATAACATTTTCTAACTTGTCGTATTCTATGACTAAATTATATGTATTTTCACTTTTTTTTTTTTAAACGTTATTCATATTTTAATTTCAGCACCACTGTTTTTCTTTCAATAGTATTTTCGTGGTATCAACGAAAGGCAGTGCACTCGAATGAGCTAGTAAAATAGGACATTTGAGGCGAAAATACATACGATACAAAATATAAACTCTTGCTCGACATATAATTTGAATGTGCACATACATAATTAGAGTGTGTATGAATAATAGAGATTCGAATGGTCGACGTTCTACTGTATGTCTCTATATCGATATTGCAATCGCATTTAAGTGGTAAAAATTGACTGATATCTATACAACATTATACAGTTAACACGTTCATTATATTGAATACACTGTTCTAATAAAAAATTTATAGAAGCAAAAATGCCATAATTGCACAGAGTGCAGTGTATGAAAATATTTGAAGTATAGTGTTTTATTATAATATTTTATTAGACCAAAAAAATCAGATTCCACTGATTTGTAAAATAAACATCTGATAAATAATGTACATTTATAAATAGTCATCTGCTGCAAATAATCTATTGTAAATATTCGGCGTGTATATCGTGCTCTTTCTGAAAATGAATTGAACGTGTTAAATTTGTGGCGGAATGCTTCGCAAAAAGATAAAGAAACATTTTTACAACTTGCGTGGTTCTTTTAATTCTCCGAGTGATTAACGTTGAAGCACGTTGCACAGACTTCAAATATTTTGCCCTCTGTTTTAAAGAATAATTAAGCAAGTGCAATAAACTCAACAGCAAATCACGCAGGAACATCATGTTGCCTCATACCGTAATCGTTTTCCTCTTCGCTTTCTCTTGTGCAAGAAAATGAGATAACCAAAGCTTGCACAACGCGCCTCAGTAAATCTCTGGTCGTAGTTATGAATTTTTATTTTCGTATTTCTTCTCTTTTGTTTCATATATATATATAAAAGAGACAAAATAATCTTATATATATATAATATATATATAAATATATAATAATAATAAATATAAATATATAATATATAATTATATATTATATTATATTATATATATAATATACGTATTATAATATATAATATAAATATATAATATATAATTATATATTATAATATATAATATATAATATAAATATATATCTATTATATATAATATATAATATAAATATATAATATATAAATATATATAAATATATAATAATAATAAATATATATATTTTTAATTAATTGCAATGTTCCCTTTAAATTAGGTGGCACGATTCTCAGCAAAGGATTCTCGTTATAGACAGGCAGTTCTTCTTCGTGACGTGCCCTGGGCAATTCCTTTACAGGATATCAACTCCGCACTGACGAAACAGGGAATCGCGACAGGAAGCGTTGAACGTTGGCGACAATACATACGAGTCGAGGTAATTACCACTGGCAGAACGATAAAAAAAAAAAAGAAAAAAGAGAAGGAGAAAAGATAAGATATATTTTCATTTAAAATCTCTTAATCTTAATTACCGGTATTGTACGATACATATTGTACAATTATTTTAATGTTTAACTTCACATACCATATATCCTTTTATATATATATATATATATAAATTGATACACATAAATGCTCTTCTTGTACACATAATTTCATCTAAATAACAATTTCATGATTTCATGTTCCTGTTCAATTCCATCTGGCAATTTTAATGTTTAACTTCACACACTATGTATCTTGCTCTTTTACACACACACTCACACATAAATACTTTTCTTGTACAAATAATAATTTCATCTAAATAACAATTTCATGATTTCATATTTCTGTTTAATTCCATACTTATCTGGCAATTTTAATGTTTAACTTCACACATTATATGTATAAATGCTCTTCTTGTACACATAATCTCATGTAAATAACAAAATCTTCTTCCAAATAACAATTTCATGATTTCGTATTTTTCTGTTCATTGCAATGAATGAACTTTCAAACTGAATTAACATCTGATTCTTCATCGATGTCCAATGAACATTTAAGAAAAACAGGAAGTTGCGTCGTCTGGTCATTAGCAAAATAAAGTCAGAACTGATTAAAGTATTCTTTTCAGGTGCTAGACGCCGGACATTACGAGCTTTTGCTGCGTCAAGGACTGGATTTCTTTGGCGCAGCTCGGTTCAGCGCCATCCCGGAACGTTGGTGGCGCGGAGGAAACGGAAATGCCAGTGGACCGCTGCAGGCAGGGCCGGGTATAGTCAACAACTTTCTTGAGACATCCAACTTTCAAACGGGGGACGGTGTGCTTCAGTGTTATCGGTGCCAGGGTTTCTGGCACATGGCTGCCAACTGCAGGCATCTGCCACGTTGCGTTCGATGCGGAGAGCCTCACAGCGTTGAGTTTTGCCCCAGGCCACGGAACAATCCTATCTGTTGTCATTGTTCGGGTCCCCATCATGCTGGTACACACGTGTCTTGTGTCTTAGATGAGACTTGATGAGATGATCACTTTATCCAATAGACATTTGGAACTGGTGACTATGAGAAAAACGTGACAAGTCACGTTTCTTTTCTGGGTACAGCGCCATGTCAGAATAAAATGAACGTGTGTTGATATAGTACTGATTTACTGTTTTAAAGACCTCAGTATAAAAAAATGATGAGATGATCGCCTTATCCAATACACATTTGCATTTAGTATGTGAGAAAAACGTGACAAGTCATATTTCTTTCTTGCATACAGTGTCGGAATAAGAAAAATGAATATGCATTGATATATAATACTGATTTACTGTTCTAAAGAATTGAATATAATTGAAAATATAAAGACTTGATCACTTTATTCAATAGACATTTGGAATTGTGTATAAAAGAGACGTGATAAGTCACGTTTCTTTCCTGTATACAGTGCCATATCAGAATAAAATGAACATGTATTGATATAATACTGATTTACTATTCCAAGGAATTAAAAAAAATAAAAAAAATATATATATATATAAAGATACTAAGATAGAATGTTAGTATTGCTTTAGTTAATATTATTTTATTAGAAGAAAATAAAACCTGTTATCAGATCCAACAATTAATAAAAAAAATTTAAGAGTGATATACTTGAAATTCAATCATAAAAAATCTCATTGATTCCACATATAAGTAAAAAATTTGAACACTAGAAGTTAAATGTATAAAAAGTATTTTATATTATTTCTGAACTTTCTTTTATAATAAACGATGGTTTGATAAAATGAATGTTCACTTTATTCTGTCATGGTATTATATGTATTCTGTAAATGGTTACATTTTTAAACTCGCTGTGAAAGAAAAAAAAAAAAATTAATTCTGGCAAAACTCCAAGTATGCGTGCATTTACTTGCAATGTTTTTTTGTTATTCATGACAGCCTTATAGTTTAATGTACGACCTTTTGTGTTATCTGTTGTTCGCTTTGACGATAGTCAAATTAACAACGTAATACTGCTGGTCATGGTTTCTGTTCAACGAATTCGCACATTTTTATTTCTAGGCTACCGACAATGTCCGGTTCGGCAGCAACTTTCGAACGCTACGCCTATTAGTATCACGCTGAGCACTACCCGGATTGGAAACCAGTACCCGGTGAACGCGGCTTCCAAGACAAACGCTTCTGCACACGAGCAGCAGCCATTGAAGTCGAGCCAATCTTAACGACAGATCACCGCGCATCACCTACAATTACCATTCGAATCTCGTAAATTACTCGCGTGCTATCGGTATTCTCCACGTGTGCTACGATCAACAGATAGAGTGTTCAATCTCGTGTTCAATTTTTTTTCAACTGAGACTAAAGAAACCAACGTACCATCGACAAAGAATAAACATTCTCTTTTAATCCTCTTTACACGTTATTTTTATAACTTTTTCACGGTCGTACAATTATTATTATATTACAATTACTCGGTGGATAATAAATTGTGAATAATAAATCCATTAAGAAGAAATAAATAAGTTTGCGAAATAGATTTTCGTTGATCCACTTTGTTTGCGTAGAGAGAGGTGTACTCAGAGAAACTGTACTTTGACTCTTTGTTGTCGAGGAGACATTCCGTTGAAATTAACCATGTTTAGTAGCCAGACAATTCTTCCACTCTTTGTCCCACTTTCTTCGTCCTAGTCTTTCTGAATCTGGGTCCCCCCAAGCAGGCATATCGTTGCTCGTCGATCAGCGAGTACCCTGACAGCCTAGTCAGTCGCACTGATAAAGGAACGAGAATGGAGGGGCCTCAGAAAGTGTATACCTGCGAATTCCCTAGATCGATAAGTCGTGGTGGGGGGAGAGCGGTTCCCGCCACGCACCGTCCTACCAGCACACAGCCGTTTCTTCGCGGGATCTTCAGAAACTCGTCGAACTATACGTGAACGTCTCGGGGATCGATCGGCTCTACTCGCGTGCATTATAAATTTGCCAAACGTTGCCGTTCACAGCGGCATATCTTGAATCGTTACCCGTCTCTTCGTACTTCGTGTGAAAAATTCAAGCTAAAGCGCTCCTTGCTTTTCCCTGCGAGAGTGCAACCACTGCGAGCCTCACGAACGAGAAGGATGGAGAAGACCGGTCAGGTATGATTGTTTTAGGATTGACAAGCTTTTGATTTTAGAAAGCAAGCTGAACACCTACTGTAATATAAATGTAATATATAAATAAATGCTGAGTTATGCAATTAGATATATATACATATAAGTCTGAAGCGAGTTTAATATTCGCTTTTACATGAGAGTTTCCCACGATGAACTTTGTCTGGTGAAGTTATGTAATTCTTAATATCTAGTTCAACACTTGTCAATTAATATTTTCTAGGCCACAATTATGCTTTCAGTCAGTATCACTTTAATATCATGTAATGTCATTATCATATAAATATTTCTTTCTATATTTTTCTATATTCTACATTTCTAGTTACATATATATTCACAGGTTTACACATATATATGTAATATGTAAATATATACATGTTATATATATATTTAAAAGAAAAAAGTATAGAAGGAAATATTTACATATATATATATGTAAGAAGTATAGAAGGAAATATTTACTTCTTTCTTTTAAATTCCATGTTTATAATGTTTCTGTGAAATGGTGAAGAAAATGGGTAATAGGTATTCCCGTGTTTGTTTCCCAATAGCAAAGTGAAGAAACTTCAACGACAGTTTCCAAATAATTGGAATAACGTTTTTCAGCGGCCGTGATGAGCACGTGAGATCATCCTCTGTGGGAGAGCATAACCGTGATCAAACAAGTTAAAACTAAAGCAGGAATATTTGTCATTGAAAAAGGCGAATGCGAATCAATTTCATTTATAACCCAAGTGCATTCTGATGCATCTGACGATGCACCACGTGTTTCCCCGTTTCAATTTTTCCTTCCTTTGTTCGTCACATAATTTCCGACATGAAAATCCCAAGGACGTGATTAATAAAATCACGCGAGCAGGATAGTATTCTTAGTGCAGCGCCGATTAAAGGACAGACATGATCTCCTCGGGCTGGACATTCTTCTTGATCGTGACGATCATATCGAGCAGCGTTCAACAGCCAACTTTCTTCAGAAATTCGTTCAAAGGGCTGAATGGTGTCACTCTGAGGAACTACGCGTATGACAGAAATGAGATCACGGCTGTTTACTATCACGATCAGACTGTGGCGGTGGTCGATCTCGGAGCGAACAACGAACTGCACAACTGCAACTTGATCGAAGTATAGTGAGTGTCTCGGAACGAAATTTTAGATTAGCGTTGAATGAAAATACGCTGGATTGATGTCCTCAGCGAGCAAGATGAGGCCACTGAAATTTTGCGTAACTTGTCGTCAACGACAGTGCCCCAGCTGGTGTCCTTCCAACAGATGACGAAGCTCATGCAACAGTGTGAATTACTGGACAAAATCCAGCACGACGCCACGGGCATGTCAAACGTGGTGAGCAAAGGGAGTCACGGAGTTGGTAGTGTATTGTCTCTTCTCTCAGGTATCTTGCCAGGTAAGTTCTCCAAGTGATTACTGCTTATTTTCCTTGTGTGTTACATAGCATATCTGCTGATATAGTATACTCTGACCTATGTCGTAGGTACAAAATGGTGTGGTGCTGGTGACATTGCTGAGAACTATCACGATTTAGGTCGTGAAACTCAAATTGATAGGTCAGTGCAAACGTATTATTATCAGTGACACTAAAAAGTTATTTTACTCGAACGAGTAAGGTTGAAGTGTTTAATGCGTTTTATTTTTCTAGATGTTGTCGCAGCCACGACCTTTGCCCTGTGAAAATTCGCGCTCAACAAACGCGATACAATCTTACCAATTACTCCGTATATACCAAGTACGAAAATACGAAGAAGAAGTCTTTATTCGTATATTCATATAAAAACTGTACGGCAATTGAGATTAATTTTGTTCTTACCTTTGCAGATCACACTGTGTCTGCGATGAGGCGCTGTATCATTGTTTAAAAGCGACGACCAGCCCGACAGCGCAGATCATGGGTCGCATATATTTTAACGTGATGAAAGTACCATGCATCGAGGATGTATCGGAAAACATTCTCGACTATTCTTCCATAGGGTTAGAACGACGTTTTATTCCTGTTAAAATGAGTTATTAAAATGGGGCGTTGCAAGTATTGTTAATAATTTTTTTCATACTTTTGTACTACAACTAGCTGTAAAATGTGAAATTGGGAAGGGAGTTTTTTGTTTTCGTATTACTGTATAAATATAACAGTTGTATAATAATAAACTTACGCGATATTCAAATTCGAAAGTAAATTCATCGTATTTGCTGATACTGCCGGGTTGTAGATAAAATTGCTTGCTTCAAAAATGACAGTCGAGGGATGATGCCTTGTACAGCTTTTTTAACATCGGGAGATTCGTGATTGCAAAGATTACCTGTAAAAAATATTTATTTCTGTTTAGATTTACACAATTATCTTTACAATAAAGTATTTGTTATTACCTATCAACCATAGCGTTTCTTTCCTGATGTGTATATACTGACACGAAAGCAGTTTGTTTATCAATGTCTCTAAATCTGATAGAGGATATTTTTGATTTTCCAACAAACACTTCACCAATTGTCCAGATCTCTCCTGCACAAGAATATTAGCCAATATTCTTACGCACGCTGTAATCTAGAATAAAGAAAAACTTTAACGACATGATTTCACTGTATGTACATACCTATATCAGAGAAATCATATACTTACACATATGAAGTTGTTTGTAGTATTTTGATACAAATCATCCACTATCAAAGGTACTACATTGTACAAATAAGTGTTACAGCATTTTTGTGAAGATAATAATGCTAGCAACCAAATAAAGTACGGATTTTCAAATGAAAGATTTCTTCTCATAGCAGCATTGGCAAGTTCAATCATCTCGTTCTCTCTAAAAAAATTGATAAACAATGAAATATTTATTTATTTACAAGATATTTTAAAAATGATTAAGTAGAAAGAATAATTACTCTGTGTATTTAAAACCAGTATGCACATAATGCATAGCTGTATAGGCTACCGAAGGTAAAATTGTATCATCACAATTGTGTATCAAAGATACAATGTATTTCAAGCAACCTTGAGCATGAAGGATTTCAAATGCTTTGTTGCTTCCCGAAATCAGATTTCCCATTGTCCATATACAAGTTTCCTAATGACAAAAAAAAGATGTTATCTTCAGTATTATACATAATGGCATTATTATACACTATTATGTAGTATTATCTTGTAACTTACCAATAGAGGATAGTTTAAAGTGTCTAATTCCGTAACAAGATACGGTCCAATATTTTTCGTTAATGAGATACATGCCTTAGCATTTCCAAGTGCTATATTACAACAACAGCAAGCGGCACATAATTGCAATGCAGAATTGGTGCTAGACAAGTCACGTACGAGGGAAAATAAGATATTGTCCACTTTAAGGAAAGAGTTGACATTATCCTCGCTCTGGTAAACAATAAAAGATACAAAATTAATATTAATTGTTAACTGCAATACAATATACAATATATTTTTAAATTATAACCTGAATGAGAGCATTATGAAGTTTCTCATACTCTTCGATGGACAATGCTTTCTTCCTAAGGGCTTTTGCTTTTTCAACAACGAACTCTGTTGTAAATGATGTATTTGTCGCAATGCTTCCTAAAGCCACACGGTTTTTATTCAACGTTTTTGTACGATTTTCCTTCCTTTCTGTGTGGACCAATTCCCTCATACTCTCCCTAATAACCTCAACAGCATTTTCTTTCGTTGGTTCTTCTATTTCCATTTTCTTTATAATTATAAGAATAATTACAGAAAATTATACACACGCTAATTACAAAAAATTAATGTACAAATTAATTCACACAAGACAGACTTCAACAGTGATGTTTTATAAATATCGCGCGGTGTTTAAACGTGACTGATTGGGAGATAGCTGTGCGAAATCAGCTGATCAAGATCATACATAAATAAAATAGTTCAATTTATTCTTTTTTTCAGAAACCCTCTAACTGTTTCATGTTACAATTTAAAAACATAAAGAATCATGTTTAAACAAATTATAAAGAATATTTACAGACAATGAAATTATACATTTTACTGATCTTGATATTTATATTTTACAATATTGAAGAACGTCGGTAAAGAAGGCAGTTTAATAATCATTCGAGACAAAATTATTGATCAGTTCGTTATCCTCCGTATCTTCGGTATCATCGTCTTCTTGGATTCGACAAATCGATAGAATGTTATATATAGCATTCGGAAATGTGGCTGTGGGGCCAAGTACGTGCAAACGTACGTCGCACTTCTCCAACGCTAGTCTCCACTTCAATTCGGTGCGTTGAGGGAGTATCATCGCCTAAAGAGAAGAATTTGTAAATTAAAATTTGATCGCTGGACGAGAGATAAGATAACTCGGTTAGCACAGTTTCTGATACCTGAAACTCATTAGCTGTGCAGCCAAGTACGCGCTCGGCAACGTCTCCGAACAGTCGGCAACCAATAAGATATCCGGTGTTGTCTTTCAGATTAACTTTAAAATTGAGGCTCATTACGTTTAGAGGCACGCGAGTCCCATTGCCCGAAGGACACTCAAGATTCATACAGGAGTCTTGATTATCGGCAATGACTTTCTTGCATAACGCGCTGAGTGGAGAAGTGAGGAAATGACAGAGTTACTATTAAAAGGTATCGATTACCGAGGGGGGAGAAAAAAGGGAACAAACGAACCATCTCGTCAATAGTATAGCAGGGCTCAAGCTCTCAACATTCATATCCATTACGTAGGCTTTTAGGATCGTAGCGAACTGAATCCTCTCTCCTTGTTTCGGTTTCTTGTTCAACTTTTCCGAGATCTGTTGTATAGTCATTACGCTTGTTATTGTGTCAGCTGTTGGAACATTAATTCAAGCTTCGTTCATCATTGTTACAAGTGACACAAAACACCGCGAGTCGCTTCAGTTATTTTCTTAAATTGTAAACTAGTAATTCTTACGATTTGGTGTTACGAAATTTTCAGACATGATGTCGTTGTTGCAGTATTGCAATATGGTGTTTCTCATGGCAGTGCATTGCGGTATATCAGGATTCTCCGTGATCATTGTTTTTCTAACTGTAAATATACAAACGTACAGACAGCGTGGGAAACATTTTCCTCGTCGAGACACGACTCCTTAAATTACAACCTATAGATAGAACGATCTTTTTCCTAAAATTGTCGTACGCGACTCGAGCGTCCACAAGGAGGAGCACGATGCGTTTCGGTTCCCACGATGCTGCTCTCTCGATCCATTCATTTTCCCAAAGCATCAACGATACCGCTTTGTCCGTCGATCCATCCACTGCCTCGAAAGTGCGGAACTTTATGCTTCTCCCGTCACGTGTCATCACGTTTCGAACATCGCTGATCTATCAAACACGAGATTTATGATAATTTTTATATGAGCGAATGAGAAACCTTAATTTTTTATTCCGAGTATTCCAATTAAATTGTTTTCGGTTTTTTGTTAGTAGTCATTCCTTGATAAATTATATAGGGTGTTCCTGAAATTGCGATACAATCTGCCGGGTAGAGTATGATCTTAACGTGTAAAAACAAGTCAGGGGAAAAAAATACTATTTTTTTTTTTAAGAAAGTCGAGTTTGAAAATTTATTTTAAAATATATTTGAATTTAGTTAATTCTAGACAGGAAAGAACAGGTTAACTTACATACTTTTTCTATGTTAGGTGGGGATAGCTCAGTCGGTAGAGCATCAGATTCTTAATCTCAGGGTCAGGGTGGGTCCAGGGGTTCGAGTCCCTGTTTAGGCGAAAAAAAAGACGTTGTCCTTTTTAGGACAAAACAGCACGGGAGAGCTCTGTGTGTTGTATAAAAAGGGTCCCCGGTGTCTTATGAAGATTTCCTCCACGTTAAAAAAAAAAAAAAAACGCTTTTTCTATAGGGCAGAGTGTTTAATTTTCTATAAAATATTAGTTATTCATGTCAAATTTCAAATTCTTTGTTTGTGATAGTCATCCTATTTTAATTATTCTATAATATATTTATGTTATTTATAGAAATATATTTATAGAAATAGAAATATAATGGAAACAGTGATGACAGCAGTCAATATCCTGTCAGAAGATCCTCCAAAAATAAGTAAAAAATATGGAATAAAATTTTTTCACTTACTTAGCTTTATTTTTTGACAAAAGACTAAATATGTTTCGTTCAAAGTTTCCATCTTGCAAAAATATCTTATTCGGCATTATCTTCGTAGAATAATGACCTGTTAATTATTCCTTCCTGTTACCTCTAGAACCATCTAAATTCAAATATACCTGATAAACTTCCAAACACGATTTTCTTGTGAAAAACTTTCTTTTCCCGACTTATTTTCACCGTGTTTTAATCACGCCGGTTCCTGGCCTCGATCTTTTCGTCGAACATCCTGGCACGCTGATGGCGCCATGAATATAAAATGAAGAATTTCACGGATATCTGCCGGCGTTTTCTAAATTTGAGACGTACGAAAGTGACGACTACTAAGACGTCGACGTATTGATCGCGTAGCGCTTCCAAGTTCTCAAAAATGCATTTCAGGGTTCGCAGCCCGGTCAGCTTCTTAATCGGGAGCATCAGCAGTGGTTCATATTTTGCGCGTGTTGGTGCGTCATGAATTTGCACTAACGCGTTGCCCTCGTTCACCGTCAGGCTGCATGCGCTGGACACCGACGGCACGAAAATTTCGCTCCTGTCGTCCGGACGACGCTCCAACACCTTTGGATTAATCACTTCCACTGTAAGTCAGATTTAAATATAATTTAAATAGCATAAGTCCAACTGGCAAAGTTATGCTGAAAAAAATAAGGACACCCTATATATAGCATTAATCTTTCATTCGTCACAAACCTACGTTCCCGATACGAAAATTGGAAGACAGCCTTCTGATGAATTGTTCGCTGCCCCATACAGTTACATTTATCGAATCTTCTTCCGAGTCGCGCAACGTGAACGTCCACACGCCTCGATCTCCGTTATTATCTGAAATTAATATTATTAACCTATTCATACGTTCGCCATGGAGAAACTCTTTTTGAATTTGCCTCTCGAAATCTAATTCAAAAACGAGACAAATCTGAGCAAACAATTCTAGATCTAACTGTCGAGGAAAATGCGAAAGGAAATTCATACATCTCGTGCGTGTAGCATCGATCGTTTTCATGTTGAAACTGTTCACAATTACACCGATTACAAACGCATTTTGCATTCCCGGATGTAAAGATCTTAACGCTTGTTTACACACACCCGACATTATTAAACTCTTTAATCTTTAATTTCAATAAATTAAAATCTCTCTCTCTCTCTCTCTCTCTTTTTCTCTTTTTCTTTCCTTCAGTTTTTAACACTGCTTCGGAAATAAACTTTGGAATGGTTTTTGGCGCCGTTGTTGCCAACCGTTTTTAAATTCGAACTCTCGACTGACTGATTGAAAATCGAACCTAACCCTAGCTAACCCTTAAAATTGTTATTTCGAGTACAGTTAAGATACATTTTAATTAGAACTACTGTTGTAACTAAAATATTTAAATATTTATCGATAGAGAAATCACCGTTCAATACAGGATGATATATCGAAAAGTTGTGAACTTAACCTTACTTCATCTGATTGTTACTTCGAGTACGATTAAAATACATTTTAATTAGAGTTACTATTTTAACTAAAATATTTAAATGTGATTTATCGGAAAAGAAATCATTGTTGACAGGACAAGTTGTTACAAATCGAACTTTAGGTCAGTGGCGCTTCAACGTTGGCAATACTGTTGCCGATGGTAGTCGGATTCACTTTCATTGACTTTAGTGACGTCGGTTCGTGGGAGGTGAACTTTCGTGCGAAGTTCATGATTTAAGACGGTTTTTGAAACTGCTACGTCTCAAGGATCTCGCGAAACCATGGCTGACAACGAACAGAAAGCGATGCAATTGTTAATGGAGGCCGAGAAGAAGCTGTCTTCCAAGAGCTTCTTCGGTTCGCTGTTTGGGTACGTTTTGGCTACATCGATTTACTTGAACTCGTCCGCCACTCGATTCTCCGATCTCGACTTGCATTATTTATTTACTTCGACGTGCGAACAAAATCAATCGCAATACCTGCAATTTTTGCACGAAGTTTATTCCTTTATAGTAGGCTTCTTCTAATCGTTTGACGAATCGTTCGTTTTTACGCATTTGTATGCCTGCATTTCTATACGTAGCAGTTACACCAGCAGTATAGCGTGTCGCTAAATTACGGTGCGTCACAAGGAACGTGTAAATCGTTGAAGTACGTAACTCTCGAGTCACCATTTCAATTTGATTTACTTTTTTTTCTATATATCAATTTTTTTGTTATATATTTTAGTAAATATCAATGTTTGTCATTAGATGACTCAACTGTTATCAATAGTTCTTTTTCATAGTTAATTTGTGTTACAAATAAATTTCATTGATTTTTTTATGCTTTCAATGCTCAGAGGGTCGTCAAAGGTCGAGGAAGCTGTGGAATGTTACCAACGTGCTGCCAACATGTTCAAAATGGCAAAGAATTGGAGCTCGGCAGGGAGTGCGTTCTACGAGGCTGCAGAGTTGCATGTCAAGGCAGGCAGTCGTCATGATGCAGCTAACAACTACGTAGATGCTGCTAATTGTTTTAAGAAAACTGTTATAAATGGTATTGATGATTATAATTTCACTATGTATTTGATGCCAAGAAATGTGAATTATGCTCATTGTGTATGTTTGTAGAGGCAATTAGTTGCTTGTTGAAAGCAATTGAAATTTATACCGATATGGGCCGGTTCACAATGGCCGCCAAACATCATCAAAACATAGCAGAGATGTACGAAAGCGAAGCTGTTGATCTTGAGAGGGCAGTTCACCATTACGAGCAAGCCGCTGACTACTTTCGTGGAGAGGAGAGCAATTCATCTGCCAACAAATGTCTTCTGAAGGTTGCGCAGTACGCTGCTCAACTTGAAAACTATGAAAAGGCTATTCAAATTTACGAACAGGCAGGTTACATGTTTCTAGCAATAATTGAAATTGTAATCTGTAAAGAAATGACTGTAAAGTCACTTTGTAATTTCATTCTGTTTTATTGTACAGGTTGCTTCTGCATCTTTAGAAAGTTCTCTGTTGAAATATAGCGCGAAGGAATACTTCTTTCGTGCGGCGCTGTGCCATTTGTGCGTTGATGTGTTGAACGCGCAACACGCGATCGAACGTTACCAGGAACAGTACCCTGCATTCCAGGATTCTAGAGAGTACAAATTAATAAAGGTATGAGATATTTTCTGTTGTTCAGACTCTGTTACCCGAGTATCACGAACTTTGTCACGACCATTTAAATAAGTAAAGTAAGTATATGGCAGACGTTTCAATTTTTATTTCAGACATTAATAGAACACCTCGAGGAACAACACCTCGAAGGTTTTACAGAAGCGGTAAAGGAATATGATTCAATTTCACGATTGGATCAGTGGTACACGACAGTATTATTACGTATTAAAAAGCAAGTTAACGATAATCCAGATCTACGCTGATCGGTTGTTCCTACTTTATGCTATTTCCTGTCGATGATATTATTAATCCAATTCTATATGTATTCTTTTTTAAGTCATATCCTGCTTTCAGTGGAACTTGTAAAGTAGTTTCGTTTTTATATCCAAATATATTTTTCATAACATCTCCTTGCTCTCTTGGCAACTATTACATGTTCATTACTTAAGTTATCACATTAGTCATCATAGAGTATTGTCATCAAAAACGATATAAAGGAAAAGGAGAAATATTCTATGGATATTAGTAATTCATTTACTGATGCCGATATACAAGGCAATATGATTAAATATATAAGTAAATAGTATTGAAACTTTGTTGGCATTCTTATACTTAAAAATACATAAATAGCTTGCCAAAAAGCTGCAGCTTGTGCAAATTCATTTCGCCGCATGCCATTGCGATAAATTATTCAGATGAAAAACAAATAATTTCCATGAGTTGATATTTGTTTCAGTAGAACAGTGTGGTGCAGTTTTACGTATATAATACTTTTAAAAGCTTGTTGACATTTATTACTAGTAACTTGAAATAATTATTAACAATAATAAATAAGATTCTTTAGTAACAGAAGAAATAGCTTGTGTTTGATCTGGAATTGTTATAATGATAGATTGTCAGTTGTTATCTTTACACTGCCAGAGTATCAGAATAATGAATATGGTATACACATTATTTTCTTTTTGGAACTGACATAATTAATGTCAAATTCCCTCTTTTTAAATTTTGATTTTCGCAAAGGTTTTATTTAACCTTTAATCTGAAACTTTCAATATATGTATATAGTACTGTTGCTATATTTTACTAAATTTTGTAAAAAGGATAGAACATGTAATTCATAATGACAGAAAATGATCGTGATATGCATTTAATGTAAATATTATCTGTTCTTTTTCTTTTCTTTTCCTCTTTGTCTTTTCTTTCCCTTTCTATTTATTAAGATCAATATTTGCTCATAGTTCTCTTACTATTGGGAAATGATTATCAATGTATATTTGTACTTAGTGGTAGATTCAAGATAGTGCGTACTAGATTAACAAAAAAAGAAGCGATAATAATTGTAAAGAAAGATTTAATTTATTTCGTTGTTAATTTTCGTTGTTATTTAACGAAATGTACATCGCAAACTTACGCATCGTGCATTTTATATTTGAAACAAGTTGCATTGTTTGAATATATTTACCAAATACGAATATTTAATTGTTAAGTAGAAAGAGTAGAAAGTAACAATCGTTTCCATGCACGTAAAGTAACGAGGCGTGTACTTCATAAGCGTGATAATTGTGAGAGAAAAAAAAGGAACGGACCTCTTGATGCACGTAATTAACGCTATGTTATTTTTTTTCGAATTTTATAAAAAAAAAAAGATTTGTTGAAGATAAAAAAAAAAGCTCGCAGGAACGTATAGCAAAAAGTAACGTTTAAAACGTACTTCTCTATTTATTCTTTATACACATTTATTTACACACACACACACACAAACACAAACATGTATATACACATATATATATGTATATATACATATATTTATATATATATGTACACACATTTACACATATGTATACATATATACATATATATACACATATATATATATATGCATATATACATATATACATGCATATATACATATATACATATATACATGC